AAGCTAAACTGGTCTGAGGTCCCTGCAGGAAGACTGCTATATTTATGTCATTACAATTATGTAAGAGTGACATCATGGAAATCAGTGTTGTCAAAAAAGTGCAGAGCATTTCACCTTGCATGGTGAGTTCACAGCAAAAAATTGTTGTCTTTAAATGTATATAAAATGGTTTAAAAACAAGCTGTTATACTAAATTGACTTCAGTGGGACAAAGTCAGGCTGATAACATAAAGACAAGAAACCTCTCCACAGTGTCCTTAAAGATTCTGTAGGCAGCCCCCTCTTATATTCTTTATAAAGCATGAGATATTTTTGACTGACTTTTATTAGGATAAAATAAGTCATTCTGAGCACAAGTAGGCAGCCTGTTAGGAGCCTATTTACAGGTGAATTGCCGGTGAGGTGTCTATTGAGGCCACGTTGTTTTCTCTTAGTAAGCAGAAGTTGCTGGTCTTAATCTTTTCAGCTGAGACTGCCCTTCACCTGCCTGAACTGGAGATATTAGACCTTTCTTGGAATAAGTGCGTTGGTGGGAACCTAAAGCTGCTTTTGGGAGCACTAAAGCTTGCAACGGAGATTCAAGTGTTAAGACTGAGCAGCTGTAACTTGGTGGCTGAAGATTTGGCACTTCTAAGTACGTATAACGTGGTATTTACTAGCAGTCAAGGAGCCCGGATATTTAGACCACAATTCAGAAGGGACTTGTTCCATGGGCTGAGCACGTTTTTGCATAAATCAAATTAAAAGATGGAAAATACAGCAGTATTTTTTCCCAGAAAGGGATTTCACTTTGCTGAGGACTGTGTGTCCTGTACATGCACAGTGCAAAAGCTGAAAAGGATTAAAATGCAAAGAATCTTTTAGCAGTTTTAATACAAAAAGGCAGCACTTAGAAAATAGAGGGTTTGCATCTGTTTTTTATATCAGATATTTCAGGCTCTAAGGAGTTTCATTGTGCTTGGTTGTTGGTTTTGTGTTCAGTAATTTATGGGGAATGTACATGCTCACAGGCAGTAATACAGGCACTAGCAGCTCTCAGTCCATTCTGTTTGTTTCTGGAGTCAAACTATTATTGGATAATTAAAACAGAAATATTTTAGCCCACCTCTTAGCAACTGCTGAGAAATACTGGGAAATGGGAACCCAGTGAAGGAATAAATTCTAAGATCCTTTTAAAAACCTGTTTCTTTTATAATCATCCTTGTGATTTTGTGGACCTAACTCACGGGTTATGAGTGTCTCAGATTGGCAATAGCTGTGTGACAGCTATTAAGGCCCTGTATTCTGAAGGCTGGTGAAATGAAGCCTGAATATTTTTTACTTTACAAACATCACCCTTGATAGGTGTCTCCTTTGCCAGCCATACATTAGGGATTCCAGTTCCCTTTAGGGTATATTAGGCCCATTACTTACCCACAGTGAGAGGTGGCTGTTTTAATCATGCAATCTCATCTAGTTTTTCTTTCCTCTTTCTAAATCTTCCTGTAAACCCTGTCTGCCTGTTTTAATTGGCACTTGATATAACCTCCTTCCAACTGACTCAGAGCTTTTCAGGTTGCCATACAATTTTAACCCAATATTTCTGTTCCTTTTGAATTGCCTGTGTTTTAAGTGTTGTATTCTCCTTCAGCTGTGATAAGATGATCTTTCTGAGGTCATCAGCAAGTGATTTTATGTTGCTGAGGAGCTGAATCTTGCTGCTTGAGTGCCGAAAGGCCTTAAATAATATAGTATTATTTAAAAAGCTTTTAAAGCAATTGCCAGGATGTATTAGTTGTGTTTGTGTCTGTAATTTCTTGCAGCATTACTGACGCAGGATGGCCATCTAGCCAGATTACAGAAGCTGGATTTGAGTTATAACAACAACATCTCTGACGAAGGGTGGGTCCTTTTCTGTCAAGGCTTAGCAGCATTCAAAGAACTCTCAGAGCTGGATGTCAGTCTTCGTCCATCATCCTGCCGAGACTGCGGGATGTGGTTCAGTGAGTTGTCAGCAGCACTGACAAAGCTGCCTGCCTTGGCAGAGCTGGGGATGCAAAGATGGGTCCTTTCAGAATCGCAGCGGAAACAACTGGAAAGCTTTAATCAAGACAACAAAAGAAACATTCGTTTTGACTGTTGATGGACTTTGAAGGTTTCACAGAGGCCTTTCACAAGCAGCACATGAACCAAGCATTATGTGTCTCTGACTTAGAAGACTGCCCAGTTTTTAGTAAACTCGTCTCATGAGAGCTCTTTAAGTAGTGCCATAATTACAGAAAACTGTTAACTTCTGCATGCGTACATCATTCCATTAAATACCACGTTCTTTCAGATTCTCTGGGCCGTAGTTACAGTGCTAGATACACTCAATCTTCATGAACACAGCCATGACTACTGTCAGAAGAGCAATGATGATTTCAGGTGGACATAGTGCAGGTTTGCCAATGAAGGGAAGTGGCTGGGGTGCGCGCTAGTGCGGGTGGGTGGGCAGTGTGACTATGGCTTTGTGTATATAAGTAAAATGCCTCTAATATGAAAATACTTGAAACCTCTATGTTTTGAATTTTAGTTTCTTCTCCCCCAAAATGTTTCCCTCTGTGTGAATGCATTAAATCTATTTAATTGTGAGATTTGGAAAGCATCCCAACAACTGAGGATTATATTTTAGTCCAATGAGGCGAATACAGAAGAAGCTGATCTATCTCTGCTCTGGCCCCTGCTGCCATCTCATAGTGTGAATAAGTGCTGTGTACAGAATCAGCATAAAATCAAGGTAAGAAACAGTTGATTGGTGTCTTTGCAGGTCTCAGGGGAAAGGAAAATGCTGAGATAGGTTAAATCAGAGATACATCCTGCTACCTTAGCAAGGATTTCAAATGCAGAGCAATCCATAAGAATTCTGGCTAGGGCTATGCAAATATTTCAGGATACTTCAGGGATGCTCCTTCTCATCCTGAGCTGTTTAAGCCTTACCCAGACTGTGCTTTCTGTACAGACTCTTCTATGACATGCAGCACAAAACCAAACTTCCAGATCTAAAAGTCTGATCTAGAGCATATGAAAGCCAGTGGGAGTCACCACAGTGCCTTCATGCTTCCTGCATTCAGGAGTAATCCATTAACCATCACAATACCTTGTGACGAAGATGGTGTTCTTATCCTTACCCTAAAGACGAAGGAAATAAGCAGTGTCTTTTATTCAGAGCTACAGGGCAGCCTCTAGCTAAGAGCAGAGCTCTCTGCTCTGTGCCCAAGACTTGTTAGAAAAAGCACCAACTTGGGACATGTAAGTGGCTCCTCCTATTTTTATTTGATAATTTCTTATTTGATATGCTATTGCATTTGCTTACGCAGAGGCAAACTCTGGCATAGTTGCTCGTGTCATGGAGCATGTTAACCCACACGTGAGCTCAAAGACTGCCGTGGGATTATTCATTGGTAAGGTATTTTAGGAAGTAAAGATATTAGATCTGCCCACTGAGTGAGGAGTCTTAGAGAAATCCTGAGGCAGCTTGAGGGATAAAGTACTGCCCAATTAGCCCTGAGTATATCTACATGCTACAGCAATCTCCTGGAGGAGAGGCACAACAGGATCATTCATTGGCACTTTCCTAATTTAATAGGAACCCTCTCAGCAAGTTCTCTCATGCAGATGCAGATCAATATTCAGCTTTCAATCTGAGTGACTCTTCAAATCTCAGCTCTTGGTTGCTCAGGGTTATAAGCAGCAGCTGACCATGCTGTGCTGATACCTCTTGATCATATAAGCCATGATTTCATTTGAGGATCTCCATGGACCCTGGTTCCAGTTTCCGTTCCACTTGAAAAGGTCACTTGGTCCCCTCAGCTCTGAGAAATGTGAGATGAACTGGAGTGTCTTGGCAAGAGGTAGCAGGGATTTGGTGCGGTGTGGGATCAGCTATTTTCTACAGAGATCCTCAAACTCTGAAATGAAACAAAGAGCCCCTGTTTCATACAGGGATATCAAGAGAGACTTTCAAGCAATGATGCAAGCCAGGAGCATTATTCTGATGTGGAAGTACCATCATTCCTGTTTAACTGCAGCACACCAACCTCTTCTCTTAATCACTTGCCTTCCTGTGACTTTCCTCCTCAAATCTGCCTTTGGCCCAACTGGGAAATTGATCCTTTATCTGTTCTGTGAGAACCTCTCTGAATCACTCCTTTCCCACTTGAACCTCTGTGTCTAGTTCAGTAAAACAGCTGGCCTGTGTTTCATGTCTGGTACCTGCTGTAATCTTACTGGCTGAACTGGGCTTCGGTGTTTGGGTTTCTTGCTTTGTCATAGCTGGGTTCCTCATTCTCAGCTCCAGTGCACAATACAGACTCGCTGCTAGCAACCTTTCCACTTTTTGTTCACGATCCCCTTCTCAGTCCTTTGCCCTTTTGTGATTCTGTCATACCTATTATACCACTAAAAAGCTTTTATTAAATCACTTCTATTAAATGTCTTGTTTATCTGCCAGTCTTCCTGGAAATCTCTGTCTTCCAGTGATTTCCTCCTTGACTGTCTCCGAATTATCCTTATCTCTGTTACTCTTTGCCTTCACTTTGGGCACAAAAAAATTATTAAACACCTCTGAATAATCAAAACGGTATCAGTTACGTAGTAAAATGGAAAACCAAACCCAAGGTATCCCACTTTTCTGTACTCCCAGCTCTCTCCTGCCAAAAGCTTATTATTGAGATTTCAGTATCAACCAGTTCAAGAGCCAAACAGAACTAAGATCCATATTCGGGATGCATGTGTGGCCACAGCATTCAGAGAGCTGTACCTGGAGGTGAAGCTCTAGGAAGAGCTGGGTCTCAGTGACCCTGCCTTCACCATCTCTTTCAGGATGCCACCGCCTTCTCTGAGGCAACTCAGACAAGGGGAGGGACAGCAGGACTGGGGTTCCAACCAGCCAATTAACCTAATTAACAGGTTCTGCTCCCACCCACTCCTCCATTTTGAATCTGCACAGTGACCGGTCCCAGTTCAGCTCTGTGCTTTATGTATGCTGCAAATAAAACTCTGGAGGGGTTTAAGGAGTAACTGAACAATATGGAATAAAAACTAGACAAGGACTTCAGATGCCTAAGACAAACATCTATCTGTAAAGTGCTGTGGAAAGACATGGTTGCTTATAAATTTGGCATGCTAGAATTATAGTAAGGAGTGTTTGTCATGGTTCTTTTGAATAACAAAGGTGTTATGCCAGGACACAGAATCATTGCAGATTATTGCATTCAGCAGACTCTCTGCTTTCAAATCAGCCTGTCATACACAGACATTTTACAAACTGTCACCAAGCTATCAGAGATGAGCTATAACAGTAAGGATTTGACAGCTTGCAGTCATTCAAAATACTACAGCTACAGATTGTCAAAATATCAGTGAACAGTTTTGCAAAAGTAGAGATATTTTCAAAACCGCTTTTTACACTTCTGCAAGACAGGATGGTAATGCAGGTTCTGGTAGAAGTGCATATGTTCTGACTGCCTGGAATCCTTCTCCGTATTTCCAAACAAAGCATTGATCATTTCTGAATGCAGAACTCAGTAAATAACTGCTAGTAAGTGGGGCCACAACGATAATTTCTTTCTAGATATGGCTGTACCTCACTCACGGGAAAACAAGTTTCTGAGAACTGCATGTAAAACACTTTGGGATTCAGAACAAAGAACACCATTGCACCAGATATTGCACTTTATAGATTCTGATCCTTTTACTGGCTTCTATTTTTTCTTTCCTTTTCCGTTTTCTTTCTTTTTTTTTTTCATTATTCGGTGCAAAGAGAGGTCTCATTCCCCTCAACCTACGCCACAACCTTTGGATCTGAAAAAGAGAGCACTGGTTACGTGGAGGAGAAGAGTAAAAACAAGCAGTCATGTGGAAAAATATTACTGGTGGATATTCGTGATGCAAAAGGCCAGGCATATTGTGGTCTCTGACAAACCCTTTTATTCTGCATTAGGCTACGTTGTTTGCAGCTAAGATAGACTGCCAGCCACCTGACTGTTCTTTCACTCTGTGTTGGTTTTTTTTCAAGAGGAATTTCTTACCAGGGAGGATACAACACTGTAGTCCTCCAGATCCTTTGATTAGAGTAGTAAATGTCTGCATCTACACATCTTTTAGTTCAGAAGAACGGTTTGGGAGAAACACACTGCTTCATGAAGAAATTACAGAAAGAGAGGAAGAATTTAGGTTCAGAAAAATTGAAGACTGAGGATTTGCCTTTCCTTCCTTCTTATCCTGTATTTTTCCTGAGCAGACTAATTCCATGGCACACTGGTATGCAGACAGATGTTCTTTTTTGGCAGGGAAAAAAATCCCCAAGCAACACAAAACGTAGGTTTTTTCCATGTGTTTGCACAATGGATCTTCAACTCTCTGCAGTCAAATTACAGTCAGCAAGAGTTGAAAAAGCCACCTGCAGTGAGTTTCATCTATAAGCAATGTCTTGACAGTTAGTGTGTCAGACACACTAACCATTCCCCTTCCCCTGGACAAGGAGCGAAGGAAAGCTCCATTGCAAGCTGTAAGGGCTGTTCTGTGCCTGCTGACTGTGACCTGGCAGGGCAGTGACAACCTTCTGCAGCATTTTTGAATGATGTCTAGTGCTGTATTTCCTGATGGTTCCCTATATCCTACCTTAACATGATCAGTGGTAAAAGTACTGCTCTGCCATAGCTCTTGCAAATGGTGGTTTAAGACATTTTTGATGTTGCATGGAGTGCCCTGTAGGTTGTTCTGCAAAGTGTCTATTACTAAAAACACAGCTTTGTATGTATATTGTGATGACTTTCTTAGCACCCCTACCTTTGCCTTCACGGCCTTTTTATGCCTTTTTTCCTGTAAGTATTCCCAGATGCAAGATGTCCCCTGGCAGCACACTTCAGTTGGAGGATCTGTCATAGGGTTCCCATCCACAAGGACCAGCTTCAGCTGCTGAAGACTGTCCAAATCCTCAGGCAGCTGGGACAGGTGGTTGCTCTGAATGAGCAGTTTTTGCAAACCTGAACACACAGAAGCAGACAGGTGCGGCACAAATAACAGGAATGATGGGGAGCATTCCTGAATGC